GGGCCATGCAGTCCAACCCTCTGCCATGCGGAATGATAGGACCATAGATTTGGAAGAGACCCCAAGGGCCATGTAGTCCAATGCCCTGTTATGCAGGAAGACCCAATCCAAGCACTCCCGACAGATGGCTCATCCAACCTGTTTAAAAACCGCCAAAGAACGAGACTCCAGCACATTCCACCGTCAAACAACTCATCCTCAGGAAGTTCTTCCTAATGTTGAGGTGGAATCTCTTTCCTTGTAGTCTGCCTTCACTGCTCCACGTTCTAGGAATATACATTTAAAGCACTCTCCGAAAATGGCCCTCCATCCTCTGTTTAAAACCTCTAAAGAGAGGCAGAGCCTGCCACCCTCCGAGGCAGTCTGTTCCAAAAGCTCCTTGCAAATGGAAGCCAGGTTCCAGAATAAATTGGGACAACACAATGACAAGAGCCTTGACAACAACGCTGCTTTTCCAGAAAGCCACTCTTCTTTTGGGCAAGTGACAGATGGCAGCAAACAGATCCACAACACATTTGGGCTCAGATCCACAACACATTTGGGTTTCCAAGATGTCACACTATTGAAAATGGAAAAATAAGAAAATACAAGAGAGGCGGAAAGAAGAAAAAGTTGGAGAAGACTGTTGTTGCTATGTACCTTCAAATGGACTCCCGCTTCAAATGGACAATCCTATCCTTGGCAAGATTTATTCAGAGAAAGTGTGCCCAGTGGGTTTCCACAGCTGAGAGGGATTTGAACCCTGGGCTCCCAGAGTCTTGCTTCAGCCCACAAACCAATACACTATGCTGCTTCACTTTTATTATTTTGTTGGTGTTGTGTGTCTTCAAGTCCAGCTCCAACATATGGCAAGCCTTGCTATAACCTACAGGAACCAGATCCCATCTGATCTTGGAAGATAAGCAGGGTTGGCCCTGGTTAGGACTTGGGTGGGAGACCACCAACGAATCCCAGGTGTTGGGAGGCTCTTCTTTCAGATGAACTCTGAGGATTCCTTGCCTAAGAAAACCCTATTAATTCATGGGGTTACCCAAAGTTGACAGATGACTTGTAAGCATATGAACACACAGGATTTTACTGTCAAGATTGCTTCAGAGGAGGTCTGTCATTGCCTTTCTCTTAGGCTGAGAAGGTGTGACTTACCCAAAGTGGGTTTCCATGGCTGAGTGGTGATTTCTGAGTCCCAGGGCAAGTCTACACTTACTATAAAACCCATGGTTTTTGATATTGACAATGGCCTAGGCTTGTCTGCACTATTATTAAGGACATAATGGCAAACCGTAGCAAATTCAGCGTAAGCGGACAGATGCTTCTCCATTCTGAGGTTGCCTCTCGGTCCATTTGAACTTGGCATCATCTCACTGGCACGGCTTTGCAAGGTTTCAGAATGTAGCCTTTACCTAGACTTAACCTGGAAACACCAGGCTTTGAACTTTCAATCTTCTCCATGCAAAGAAAGAGCTCTGCCATTATATTATAAACCTTCCTAAATGTCTCCACATTCAGCTTCCCCAGCCCAGTCACTGTCCCTTGGTTTTCAATGTGAGATTTGCACATTTCCATTTCACACCGTGGGCTGCTAAACGTGGCACTCTGCACCATCTTGTGGGTCAAGGAGGTAATGCAAAGACGCAGACCATTTCTCAGTCCCGCCTGAGGCCCATGCACCGTCACAGGGTGACCAGATGTCACAACCACAGAGGACGCCGCACAACGTAGGGCACCCATGAAAAATTGTGGACATTCCCAAATAAAAGGGGATCCCCGGATTTCTTGAACAGAGGTATCCCTTTATATGGAAAAACATGAAATATTCAAACCGTTCTACAAATAAAATGACAATCGAAAACGCACATATCCAAACAGCCAAGTCAGACAAGTGATGCTTTCGGCTTTTATTTAGTTAAATGCAGCATTCTATACAAGAAAAAAAAAAAAGGAGAGATTTCAAACCCTGACAGGGAACTATAGTTCTTCCTAAATCAACCCGAATTAAAAGATTTCTCCCCAAATACACTGTACTGTATGGAAAATAATCTCTCCCTGCCCCTCCCCAGCCCCATTTACAGCGTGCCACGCAGTACGGTTATTCTGTGTATCCCAAACTTCAGAACTGTACAATTTTGTTTACAAATCACACTTTTTTTTTCCTATGAAAAATTACAGAAAAAAATATTGCCACTTATTTTTTTTATTTGTAACAAAAAATTAGAGATTTTTTTATTTTTAAAAAAACACAAAAAAAGGTCAGCCAGAACTTTTTTATTTTCTTTTTAAATTTTATTTTTTAAAGTGTGTGCTTGGGAGGAAGGCGGGTGCAAAGGGAGGGGGGGGAAGAAACCCTGGTGCAATTTGGAGCAGATTGGATTTATAATAAGAATAATAATATTTTTTAAACCTTCTGACTCAAGTTCAACAGCACTTGGCATTTAAAACAAAACAAAACCCTCAGAAAACCACTGGAAATGGATCCAAGGCATGCAGATCTCAGAAGCATCTGGCTAGGATCAGCCTTTTTTTTCCTCCAGTGAAGACTGCTATTAAACCTCACTCTAACAGCATTGAAAGGAAGGACTCAAGTTCTCTTTCTGGCATGGGTCCTTATGGAAATGAGGGGCAAAAAAGTTTAGTTTAATGGTTGTCACGGTCCCATTTCATGCTCCACATTCGAGAGGACTGAGCCTGTGGGGAGAGACCTGCCAAACGCACCTACCTCCGTTTTCATGGACAGATGGATCCCACATTTTAAAGAGGAGGAAGAGACAAGCAAAGCAACAAAGTGCACATGGAGTGATTTTTACCCCATAAGCTTTCCTGACCAGGTTGCTCCACATGCTTGGAAAACAGCCTGCTCATTTTGCCAGCTTAAAAAGGGGGAATGGAAAAATTTAAAGCAAACTGCAGATTAATAATACCCCCAGATGGGAGTAGAGGTTCAGATGTTGCATACCATTTTGCCCTAGGCAGAGAAACATGGAACTTGACCAACAAAACCAGGAGTCCTTTCTTGCTACACAATTTTACTGCTAATATTCCACTTTAACTCATGGCAACAACCCATGCAATCCTGGGATAAGTTTGGGGAGACAAACCAAAACCAGGGCAGTCTAAGTTCTCCTGGACCAGCAGGTTTGTACACTGCAGGCCAGGACATTAAACAGATCAAAATGTTTTTCAATAACCCCTCTATGTTCTGCTTTGACTTCACCTTCAGGGAATTATAAGGAGGGATGCTATCAACATTTAAATCCAAGCATGCTCCCGGATAATCTGGTAACTAGGAACAACCTGCACAAATAAGGAAGCTTTAGTGATAAACTCACAATTCTGTGCATTATTAAGCCACTACTCTCAGAAGTTATAAAGTTCCCCAAAGAAGCAGTAAATATGTGTTCTGTTTTTAAATCGACCCATGCTGTAGTACTGTTGTACTTAATCTCCACTGTTCCTCCCCTTCTGGGTTAGCTGTCAGGCTGAGCAGCTGCAGAACAAAGCACATAACACTCTTCCTGACATCCAAAAAGCCTCACCAGAATTCAGTGCCTATAGTCAGGTACAAACAGCTCATTGCAAAAAGGCAAATGGAACTGTGTAGGGAGGCTCTGCAAAGCAGGGCAAAATAAAATGAAGATACTTAAGAGGAGATTAGCTGTACTAGTGGTTTTAATGCAAAGTGCTGAGTGAGATGACCAGGATTTGGGGTGGGTAGGAGTGGTGGGTGAAGAATTAAGAGGCAACTGGGGCTTATTTTAATCTGTTAAAACTCAAATTCTGGCATATCTTCTGAACTCTGACAACTCCTTCAAGCTTGGGGCAGAGTGAGGCCAGAGGAAAAAAGTTTACAGCCATCGAGGAGAAGACCTAGAATTTAAAAACAAAACCACACATACAAAAAGTTCAACTCACTTGGGCTTGCTCTTTTTGAGTCACGCTCAAGCAGGAAAGCAAAAGCACTGAGTATGTCACAGTAGTCCCAGGTAGGAGGACTTGCAGGCATTTGATAACAAAAGTTGCAGGAACGGAAGTGGCCAATTATTCCTTTTCAACCCTATGCCAGCCCAGGCAGGCTCAAGGATGACTGCCTCAAAGGAGACAGATTCTGCACAACCTGGCGATCCACAACAGCCTCACTCTTCAAGAACCAATCTTCCTTTAAAAAATGGAGGGGAAAGGGACCCAACTGTTCTCCTAAAACATCCAGCTCAGCTTGGAAGCGCAAAGGCAGGTGCCCTTCTGGCCATTTCCCTTTCAAGCAAAGACAACAGTCACAGAAATCCATTTTCAAGCATCAAAAGGTGGAGCGATATTGGAGCTTTAAAGCCCTTTCCCCTCCTACCCTAAAATGGGAGACTGTGTGTGCATCTGAATGACTGTGTGTGCATCTGAATCTGAACAGATCAACTTTTACACACAAGGAATGGGTGAAACACACTGGGAAATCTCTCCTGAGCAAGCCATTTAAAAAAGAAATTGCTTTGCACTCAGACTGAGCCAGTGCAAGTTCTGTTTGCATGGCTGAGGCTGGAGACCCTGCCAGGCACACCGTGCCACCCTCCTGCAAATGCTGTTAGAGTGAAGGAATCGGCAGACCCAGGGTTTCTGACCCAGCCACTCCTTCCCCCAAGAGTTGCTCCTTCCCACCCGCTCAGTGAGCCCTCGAGAAGCAGCTCCAAGGTGGAACTGACACACATCCTTCACAAAAGAGAAACACACAATGGTATCCTTCCATTAGCAGCGCAGAAAACACAAGATGCTTGCTAGCCCAAGCAAAATAAAAGGAGAGGAGGGGGAATTATATGGCATTTAACGGAACACATGCACACACACACACACGCACATACATACATA